TGTACCTTTAAATAGCTGAATTAGATTAATGCATAATTAGAAGTAAAGCACAACACAATACTCAGTAAAATAGAGCCTTTAAGCTTTAATCAAAGCTTTGCTTTTGTTCCACTCCAGCTGAAGGATAAGTGCTTTAAGTCTATTGTATCTTTTATCTTAAAAACGCTCTCAGCATTTTGAAAAAAGCATGACCCTAATATCTTCACCTGAGATCATGTTGGTAATTCTAGCTATTCATGAGAGAGCAGGGAGCGCCCTGTAACTCCTGTCTTTTTAATTAACTGTATAATCTGAACAGAGCGATGATCTATTGTCATTGTTTCGGTGCAAATATCCCTCTATAGAAAGGCAGGCTTAAAATGTCAGCTTTGATGAAAAACCTGCTCTGTCTACCAAGATTATATCAGGTTTAAATATGAAGAAAAATATCAAATAACAGCAGCCACTCATACAGCTCTGAAAGTTTCTCTCATAACTAAGATTCTGCCAACACCGTCCTTAATATGCCGTAGGAGCGCAATGAGGTATTCTGGAGCAGAAAGAAATGTTGGTTTACAATATTGTGTAAATGCCAAGAAGACATGCATTTAGAAATATTCTTGGAAAAAAAACAAAAAATATATATATAAACCAGGCCTACAGCTGGAACAAGTGTTTGATATTCATGGTTGTGATAGGTTTCATTATAGTATGCAGTGGCTAATTTTATTATTTAAAAAAACATGGTTGAAGGGTTTATTCAGCGAATTGTTGTAGACGCCGATGGTTCATCAGCATAAAGCAATACAAATACAAAAAGGATTAATCCCAAAAAAAGACAAAAACCTCTGATTTCTCACACTTTCTGGGCAACATTGGTTTATGGATCTATCTTGGGCAGGTAAACGATAGAAAACTGTAAAATAGGGATCCTGTGCTGCTCAACAAATGGAGCCGAGGTGTAAGTTCAACCGAATAAACTGATTACTCGCCTTCATCCGCCTATGACACAGCCAATCAGCTTTGAACCACGCCTCCACGAAAGCCAATCAGATTCCAAAGTTCATCTTAAAAGGCCTCCGATCCGCACCTGTCTGCTGCCTGGTGCGCCGGCGGTGGTTACGCTGTGTAACTTCATTCAGATGACCCCGTTCCAACCCACCTCCAGCCCCTCCTCCACCATCGTAGCTAAAGCGTCATCAGAGTGTCATTCCTCCTGGACTCTTACTGCATTCCGTGTCTCATATCAACCGGTCCGGCAGAAGACCGCCATGTTGAGCCTGGTTCTGCCAAAGGTTTCTTCCCAATGTTTTTCCTCTCCACTGTCGCTTCATGCTTGCTGATCATGGACAGGTTCTCTCAACCTGTGTTATCCAAGCCGGACTTCCATCTTCCAGGTCCCTGAGTGAAGCTCTAGTATCAGCTCATGGAGTCAGCTTGATCTCCCCATAAAGCTCAGCATACCGTCTCGCTAACCAGCAGTCTACAGACTGACCAACTTCATCTATGACCACTCCACCACCAGTTTCAGGCCTGGTGGGGAACAGCCCTGTTCTTTACTCCTGTTCATGCATATCTATCAAATTCAGCGCTATGTTTCCTACTGAGGTCTGAGCGCCAAAGAATAAGTAATTCTTATTGTCTTTTCTCTCCGTGTGAGTTTGTCAGATTGAATTGGAATCTGCTGTTCTTTCAACTTTTAGTGATCTGCCAAATCTATGACAAAAATCTATAGCAACGTTTCATTTCCTCTTTTCTGTAAATGTGATATTCTGATTAAAATTTTTGTTACTAACTATGAATCTGCCTAGATGTTTATTTTTACATCATGATCCAATACACTTCCTGTGTAGCTTTTTATCTTAAACCAAATGTAGACCCTGAGTTTTCTAAAGTGTTAATGGCATCATTTATTGATTTTTATTGTACCATTAAGTGCAAACTGGCTTCATCATCAATGAGCCAGAAGAAAGGATTTCTTAGACAAATGTTTTGTGGACATATTTAAACAGTAATATGTTGTTGCTGCCTGACCCGGAAAAAGCAACCAACTCCCTGGATTGAAGCCATCTGGCGCGGTCATCAAAACCAACTTTGAATCTTTTCATGTTGATTAAAAATAGATCAACCAACTAATTAAATTACACTTCAAATGAAATATGAAGCACCGTAATCTTATCTGGATCCAGCAAATCTCCCAGCTTGTTCACAGCAGCCTGGTTTGATGTATGAGGACGGCACTTACAACCAGCAGCCAACAGCCTGAATGTCTCTTTAATTATAAACAATGTGAGATAAAATACAAGGTGACCTCATCTTGATTCACTACATGTGTGGCTGCGGTGAAATATGAAGTGCACTCTGTCGTGTCTCTTTCCATCATCCTGAATCACTCTGCTGTTATCAAAATGCTCCGAGGATGTAAGGTGAACTTTAGTGAGGGTTTCATGCAGCTGTTTCCTGATGACCAGCAGCCTCACAAGTGGACACTATATCATCATCTCTACCCCACGACCTCGTAAAAAATGACCCAGTAAAGAGGAAATCACACTAGCTGTATGTCGTATTGCTGTGTTCTGGCTGTTATCAGGCTGCCCTTTGTGCTCGATTCTTTTAGGTTTACAGACCATGTTCCATTATGGCTGTAAAGTAGTACATCAGAATGACAGGGTGTGGAAAATAAAGTTCTGGCCTCAATGTTTGCAGAATTTCATGCTCTGACTCTCAATTACAAACATAGCAGGAAACATGGAGAGAGTAAAATACATCAGGTCACTTCAAAGTAATGCAAAGTTAGCCTAGTTATTCTCCCATTAACAGTTTTACTATGATTGCTTATCAAAATATATAACTTTGAAGTGTTTTGTTTGATTACCATATGATTTAGTACCACACTAAATTTCAAGGAAAGTCGTAGGGAAATCATGGCTTAGACATGTATATAAATGTACTCTTTTTTTTTTTAGACAATATTGTCCCAAAATTTAGAAAATTTCTATTTTTAAAAAAATCCTGTCTTAAAATCTGTGTTTTTTTTTCGTTATTTTTATGCAGGCCAGTTAGTTATACGTCAGCTTTAACACCTAAATTCGGCCAATCATATATCAACGGTCATCTGTCAATCAAATTTTTTCAGTCATAGCATCTTGGTTTATATGTCGCAGCTAATATACGTAATAGTTGAAATAAGAAATAGGAATCATTTTCTTCAACATTGAGTTCCGTCCCAGTGTTCACGGGGATGGACGTCTGTGTCTTCAGCAGGCGTAGAGCTAACAGAACTGGCAGCATTGCGAGGCAAGGGCTCAAACATGTACGGCTGTAAGCCTTCTACACCAAACCAAGCTTCTGCCGCCCTGGCGTCCTCTTCCACAACATCTTCATCCCCGCTTTCCTCCTCTAAATAGCAGGAGACGACCTTCAACACTAAACTCTCCTCCTCTTGCATGTTTCCTCTGTCCATAACGTTCCTTGACAGTGTCATTTCTAAGTCACCAATTTAGTGCTACTTGGTCCCAATGGAATATCCCATTGGGAACCTACTAGCACTAAGTTGCTAACTGGTTAGCAACGATGCTTTCAACAAACCGGCCACGACCAAAACATTCTCTTTATTCACTCGTGTAAAATCGGGCACTACTTGGGAGAATCCAGAAATGTAACGGTTGGAACAGCCGCTTCCCTATGACTTTAAACATGCTTAAACTATATGTGTTTCTCTGTCTAACAGGGGGCTGTAACTGGGCCTTGATAAGCCTCTGTACTGTGGTCAGCACAGAGCCAAAGAGTTCAATTAAAAACATGCAAGTAGAATCATACTTCATACTATATAGTTTAGGTTTTGAAATGGTAAAATGTTTACTGAAAAGGTTTGCACGCCTGCTGCACATTTTCACATCGGGTCAAAAGCTTGTTCACATCCCAACTTGTGCGTCAAACATTGTGCCCCAACATACTTTATAAATGAGGCCCCTGGAGTTTTAGACGACCAAGACACAGAACAATCATCACACTCAACAGTGATTATAGGGTCCTTTTCAGTTATTGGTCTTTTTTGTGTTTAAATTAATCGTGATGAATCGATAATTGAAATAAACGTCAACTAATTTA